AACATTATCAATTTGTTTCCATCATGGTTCTATGTTAAATTTTTCCGTTTAAATAATTTTGTGCTGAAATTCTGAAATGTCACTATTCATAGCTCCAGATAACAGGAAGCTCTTACAGAATGCATTACTTCAAGACATTTCTATTTTTTCATACGATACGGTGTTTACGGCGTCACCGTAGTCGATATCTATGCGGCATATATATGCGGAACTGTGCTTTTCCCCCGCTTCCTAGGCGAGATTTTGTGGCCGCGTAGACCAGCTTTTTTATTTCAGTATATTCCGCTATATTTTTTAACACAGTAAATAGTAATAATAACAATAATGCTTGATTACTATTATTATTATTATTATTATTATTGTTACCATGATTATCATCATGATTATCATCACTCTATGCCGATGTTAATGGTTTTCTGAATCCTTCAATAATATTGACAGTTGGTTTCGAGTCTAACCAGAATAACAATGCAGTGCGTAAAAAAGAAAAATAGCTGAACTTGATCTAAGAAATCCGGCAGAAATTGCAGATGTGTGAAATTTGAAAACCTCTCCATGAGCTCCCTTGGCGTTTTCTCTGACGAATGCTCCACGTTCTTAGACATGACGAATGACATTAGCTTTGACAAAAAGCAGCAAAATTATATAATCAAATAAATGATAAATATAGCCATTAGAGCAACACATCACATCTTTTGTTCAGGGGCACCCAACGTCAATTTTCGGAAAATATCTGTTCGGAAGACGATTTGAGATCTAGAATTTTCGGAACATTTGTTGTAAAATTTGTTGCTTGCCTGCCTCTCTTAGGATTTTCGAATTTTGCAAACAAAGAAAAGGGTCACAATGCATAGGAGATGGATTACATACAGTTATTTAAATTGGATTTCTTTAAACCCTACTTGTGAAGTTTTGGTCGTAATTCTTCCCTTTGGCTTTCTATTTGTCGACGTTTGCTTTTTTGTTCGTTTCTTTTTGTTTTGGGATTTTGTTTTTTCGTAATTTCATCGCAAGTAAAATGAAGCAAGACGAGATACACTTCAGTTAATAGAATTTGACCAAATATTCGCTCGAGATAAGTGCGAACACTCTAGACCTCGTACTGCGTTTTACGACATTATGAATTTGTTTCCATCATGGTTCCATGTTAAAATTTACCGTTTAAATAATTTTTGTGCTGAAATTCCGAAATGTCACTGTTAATAGCTCCAGATAACACGAAGCTCTTAGAGAATGCATTACTTCAAGAAATTTCTATTTTTTCATACGATACGGTGTTTACGGCGTCACCCTCAGTCGATATCTATGCGGAATATATATGGGGAACTGTGCTTTTTCCCCCCGCTTCCTAGGCGAGATTTTGTGGCCGTAGACCAGCTCTTTTATTTCAGTATATTCCGCCATATTTCTTAACACAGTAAATAATAATAATAACAATAATGCTTGATTATTATTATTATTATTATTATTATTATTATTATCATTATCATCACTCTATGCCGATGTTAATGGTTTTCTGAATCCTTAAATAATATCGACAGTTGGTTTCGAGTCTAACCTGAATAACAATGCAGTGCGTAAAAAAGAAAAATAGCTGAACTTAATCTAAGAAATCCGGCAGAAATTACAGATGTGTGAAATTTGAAAACCTCTCCATGAGCTCCCTTGGCGTTTTCTCCGACGAATGCTCCACGTTCTTAGACATGACGAATGACATTAGCTTTGACAAAAAGCAGCAAAATTATATAATCAAATAAATGATAAATTAGAGCAACACATTACATCTTTTGTTCAGGGGCACCCAACGTCAATTTTCGGAAAATATCTGTTCGGAAGACGATTTGAGATCTAGAATTTTCGGAACATTTGTTGTAAAATTTGTTGCTTGCCTGCCTCTCTTAGGATTTTCGAACATCTAAAAAATGGTATAAATGCCCATTTTTAAAGGATTTTTACCATAAAAAGGTCACCTAGAGTTTTCGAATTCGGGAGCCTTTTTTCTGGCTGAAGTTTTCGAAAAGATAAGTTTTGATCCCTATAATTTTCAGATCAATAGACTTTCAGCTAGGAAATCCGAACAGATGAAAAATTTTTAGGGGATAAAAATATGCCTATATCTACCGTTTGAATACCAAAAAACGTT